TCGCAAGATGGCTCCATTTCCTTGCATATCTCTGTGTGCATCAATCCCTCGAAGATGAACGATGTCATCGGTTCTCCGAGAAGCTATTTCGGTTCATTTGTGAATGTCATGGACTTTCCTGATGTGTATGCTATTTTTTGTTGAAGATGTCTGTCAGTACGCACCAAAAATTGCACCAGTAAAATCAATCGTTGATAGTTAATTGCTAATAACGACACTACAAGATGGGTTTTATTGACTCGTCATTGATGACTTATATGTTCACGAATAAGTTTAGATCTACCGTGATCCCAAATTAAGAGATGTGATATTTACACAATAGCATTTGCTCTGTATAAGGTGCATCCAACCTTACATGAAAGTCTAACAAGGTAACACCAAAATATTTCAAAAAGATACAGAATATTGCCTGGAAATGTCTTTTCTGAATGATATTCATGTGTTTCCTTCAAATGCTGACGAGAAGCAATGAATTCATCATCTTTGTGTTGCACTGAATGCATTGATCTGTTGCACTTGGTGCAATATATCCGCACTTCAAACGATATGGAGTGATACTCACAGTTCACGTGTCATTGTTCGCTAGGTTTCTCCAGCAATAAGGAATGTTTAACGAAAATTCAATTCAAAGAATCGGATCACGGTAATCGTTCAATTTATACACCTCGAGATCATTTATGAGCTTCAAGAAATTCTGATCGTTCATTGCATGAATATCGAATTGGCAACGTCGTCGTTTCTCGACTTGATGGCTATTACTGATGAGAAATACACCTTCAACAATCAACCCAAAAGAATATTTGGGCATCAAGATTTTATATGAAAGAATGACAATCTTCTGATCATATCACATCAGTGATCTCACAATCGTTGATGTTTATGACTTGTCGTATATACCAGCTTCCTCACTGCAGCTGTATGACCTTAACAATAACGACTACAAAAATATCTATGATGACACCCGGTGGCACATACGAACATCTTTATCAACCTGTCATATTTACAGATCCAAAATATTTCGCCGAATGGTACGAGTCATGGATCTCGATCCATCTAAAGCTTTCATTTCTATGCCAAATCAAACAATGAGAAATGCTATCAATTGAGTTGGGAGCATGCATCTGTTCTGCCAAAAGTATTTTTTCAGATAATTATTCAAAAAATTTCATGCTGTCTGAAATGTTTCAAAGAGACCTCAAAACTCGCGTTCTTTTGACAACGTTTCTGATGTTCATCTCATTCTTTCTCGAACATCAATATGAATTCTCATTCTTTTCAGCTGCTTCTAGCACATTTCTCAATCTTTTTCACAACTTCTCAGTCATCTTCTCAATCTTTCCAGCAAAATTTCGATCGTTTTCTCATTCTCTCCACAGTGATATTGTCCAGTAGTATGTGTTTGTTGCAGATAAGTGCACGATCAAAAGCGATTAATTCAATACATAATCACCACAGTATCTTCTAGAGGAGATGATCACGATGCTCTGGTCCTTGTAAGCTTTACCCAACAACATCAGAGTATCATGTTACAGTCTGACTGAGGGGGATCTTATCTGCACGGAAATCACATAAATTTTCGACAGATACTGCCCAGTTCTCTAGAAGCGATTCATTTTTTGAAGTCATGTCATACCCATATTAAAGTCATGTCATCCGCTTTCTTGGTCGTTATCGTGTTAGTCAATTAACTAAGGGCAATATGATCACATAGGGCAAAGTCCTATTCTTTGATGAAGCTAAACTGCACTCCAGGTCACTTTTGTGTGATGCGAATTCATTTCACAGAGTGTATGCATGCAATAGACATCAACTGCACCCTAGGTTAATAATTCGGTGCAATATCAATTCATTTCAATCACATCAGCACAAACCTTGCACTAGACCTAAACTGCACACCATGTCAATTCTGTGCATTTTGCATCATTTCACTGTGTTTAATTGGTCCAGCAACACAAACTGCCCTCGAGCACTTCTAACTGATTACCATTTCTTGCAATCATCGGATTGTGATGTGAGCATGTCGAACGTCTCAGCTCAGTTTCATTCGTTTTCAATTGATTCGCTGCTTGTGCTTCTATCAAAAGCACCTATAATTATGCGTAGAGAAGTGTGGCAAAATGTCTTCGTATAATGTATGTGACAGGCCACACCCCCTTTTCAATGATCTCAACTGCTGGGCGCTATTGAAATTTCCGAGTGATCTTGGGATCAAGTCTCAAATTGTCTAAAAATATTTTAGCGTGTTCGATAAATTCATGTCCTTAATATCGGATGATGATATCAAAAACCAGAATCAGATGTTCTGTGATAACAACGGAAGCAGCAATGTTGAGAAAGATTCCGATCAACCCAATAATGTAACTGATGAGCAAAATAATTCAATTCCAGGTAAACGGTTTTAATTTATTGCTTTTTGGTCAGTTTGTCTCGTCAATTTATCTCTTTGCGTGCCATAGTTTTTCGATATTTCAAGATTACAGAACTCATTAAGTGTTGTTGTTTGAACTGCAAAATGAGGAGGTTTGAATAAAATTTCAGCAATGGAAAAAGCGACAGCGTTCACTCCCGTAGACGTTGATCAAGAGTTATCCAATCGTATACCAAGATCTCCTCTTTCAATTGAAAACTTACATGGCTTATGTTCCGGTATGTTGACAAGCTTTTTTTTGATGACTTTCTCTCTGACGATGAGTGTGTTCTTTTATTGAAATGTAATATGCATTTCCTTGAAGTTTTAAATTCCCGAAAGATGTGTATTCCAATTCGTTAAGAAGGAATAATCAATGTACTTGTATCTTCAATAAGAGAAAATAATCAGTGTAGTATTTGTAACTTCAGAGAAATGTGTACTGGAATTCGGTTGTGCACTTAATTAGAATTGCTAAGGAAGTCTAACTTTATCATCAAGAACTTCATCATCAGATTCAGAATCGCTGAGTTTTCAGCTCATAACAGTTTCCAGCTTCGTTCAATTCATCATCTAATTTTTGTTTCGAGCCCGCCTAAGTTCTGTATTTGTAATCTTTTTATCCATAGTACACTCGTTGTTTTTCATTCTTCTGTGTGTGTTTATTTCTACTCACTTGTTATTCGTGGTATTCATCTGATTGTGAGGTTTTGCATTGTTCACTTTGCCGTCTTAAAACTAGTTTTGTGTTTATTCGTGTTCAGATCATGACAATAAATCAACACTTTTTGTGTCCGTTGTGCGTGTGAACTATTTGAGTATACATAGATATTCAGAAAAACAAAAATCACTTGTTGCTAAAGACATAATACTCTGTTCAGCTTTGTGCCACACGAATTTTCCAAACTAGAATAATTCTTCCAAAAGAAGAAAGGGACGTTCTTCAAATGTGTAATAATGTGGCAGTCCCTTTACGCATTCGGTTTCTAATCGTCTCGTGAAAATCGATGGAAACATTATTAATTGCAAGCAAGGATCGTTTTTTTTTTCGGGTCTGAAATTTCTCCTCGTTGATTTTCGCCTGTCAATCGCAAATTTAGTCCATGCATGTTGGTCGCAAAAAGATCAGTTTCTATGCAGTTATAGCAATTGAATAAATCTGTAAGTATCTTCGAGCAGTCAGCAATTATGATTTGTTTGTTCACCTCTGAAAAGAAACGTTTTAATGTCTGACTAGAACGTTACTCTCTTTTTTTTTGCGAATCAGCAGAACGCTGTTATCAGCCGTCTGAAGCGATTTTCTTTGAGAAATTGCGGATGCATTTATAAAAATATTATTTCTATGCGCTATTGGAGCGCTTTGTTGGGTTTGAGTCAGTTGCTGCTTCTAGTAAAATGGATATCCCATAAGGAGCCCTCGTAAACGGCGTAATCTCGAATCAATTTGTTTGATTAATTTAAGATTTGTGATGATTTTGACTTTATCTTTTTCGGTTTTTGCTCATTATTGTTGCCAGTAGATAATGGATGTATTTTCGCTAGTATTCAGTTATATTCAAATGCGCTCTTTTGTTGAACTCATCCACGGACTTGGAAATAATTATTGATAATTTTCAGACACTCATTGTGCGCAGAAATAAATGATAATCTTTCTGGAAATAAACATTATTTGTAGATTTTTTCCTAATAAGCTAATCAATAGAGGGATGCAAAATGGATATATATGTTGGTAATGATGCAATTAGGTATTGAAGAAGACGTGTATTCAAGCGATAATTTGAGATGTGATGTAATTGGGGATTTTATTGTAGCCATGAATATTATATTGTGCATGTGATGAAGATGGTGGTGGTTCATTGACTGCGTTGAGAAAGACGATTGTTTTATGAGCCTTGTTGCAGAGGAGAAAGTTTGCTGAAAGGAAATGAGCAGTGAGGGAATCGATATTTAGTGCAAATGTGGTGCTGAGAATACGAATGCTGTGTTGATTTCGAATTACCATTCTCAGCGATATTGCTTCTAGCGACTGATGCATTCTAGTATCAGTGCTGAATGAAATGGAATACTGAATGCTTGGGCTTAGTTCATCATCTCAAATCGAAGCCATTCTTAATGAATGAATGATGCTGACTGAATACGAACAATGCTCATCTCTGCACCATGTACTAACAAGGGCACTATCAGGATCGAGTAATGAATGGATAACACGTTCATGGCTATCCTTGATTCACACTCTCAATACTGCGTATCTCCTTTCTTTCTACACCATATTTCTGCTACTATCTTCACATAGATTTGTGAAGAAAGCTGTGTTATATCTCATCTCGTTCCTCGCCAGCACGTCTCTATATAACGCTCTACTAGAATTAGTGCAGATTAACTTTCATTTCAAGATGCTAATCAGTTTCCATGGAGAAATGATTGCATGCGTTTTAATCTCATTATTTCTCCATCATCTCCATAATTCTTTTGAAACACCAACAAAATGTTTCTCGTCTTTTGCAGATTAAAAGATGTTTCAGATGTTTACATTATGATCGTTGCATTTTATAGTATATCAGAACAGCATTATGATATTCGGTGAAATGCAGCAATGAAATTGCCGAAGAGTACGATGTTGATTCAGGCATCGCTCGTCTCTGTTATAGCAATCTACTAGGCATTATTAGGGCATTATTAGGATGGAGTGATGAATGGAAACATATGTCCATTTCGTTATTAGGATTCAGTGGATGAACAGAATCAATTGTAGAGTCGTTTGAATGTGAGAGCCGTTTTGTTCGTTTGCTTATTTGTTTGCTGCATTTTTGTTTTATCAGTGAATGTATTTTTAATATGTTTAGGTTAGTCATTTCAGTGGTTCGACTATATGAGCTTTCATGTTGGGAAAGGATGTGTATTTTAGGAGAATTTGAGTGAAACATAGCTGTGACATTCAGGACATTTTCATGTCGATATTCCATGAATTCCGTAGAAAAAAACAGATGTGTTGAATATCAAATTGCATTCATTCACTCATTGCGCATACTGATCCTATTGCAGTCAATGAAATCGATTTATGTGTCTGTTCCATGCGAACATCATTTTAAACTGAAACTTTTCTTTTCATTAATACTGCACTTCACATATATGTTCATTTGAAAGAAGAATTTTGTTTTATGTATATATAGTGGTGAAAAGATTGATATGAATTGATATGTGCGTCTATTCGAATTGTCATCTGAAGTTTTTGTCGAAACTTTTGATTTATTTCATTTGATTGGGTTATTGGATGACCTGAATTATTATTTGCAATCAGAGAAAAAACGAATGATGAATTATGCATAAGTTGAACAAAATGGATTTAACATTTGAACAGCACTGATTTTTGGAAAAGTAGTCATCTCGATAATACAGTTTCGTCATATGACAGATCCTATTTCTATTTGCTGATAACAGGCGATTGTCTATCAACGATTAATAATCTCGATTGTCTATCTATAATTTCGAAATCATTTTCACTGATCGTTTTCGTCACATCTTCTTCTATCTGGATGATAATTTTCTCGAATGTTATCGTTCTGTTTTCATGAATATAGTCACTTACAGGTGACATCCCCGAAACGGCACCTATAACAGCCGCAACATTTGGCGGTAGTGATGAAAGCGATAAAAACGAAGACAAAATGACACGAATTCAGAGTGAATCGACGCTGATCAATACAACTGTCATGGAGCAGGTTAGCACCAGACGTGTGTCTAATTTGCGTTCGCAGTGCACTGGCACATCTTCGTGAGCAATGCACAACTAGAATATCGATAAAGAACAGACTTTCGATTGCTCGAAACTGGAAATGTAATGTATTTTGAGAATGCGCTGACAATGAGACAGTCTTTTGTGAATGGTGGAACTGAAGTGTGTGGAAAAAAGTGTCATTGAAATTTGAGTGCATACATCATTTACATGTTTCTTTGTAAGAATAGTGAAGAGAAAAAATTTTGGCAGTTTTTTTTTGCGCGAAGTGTGAACGTGTTAGTTAGTTTCAGGTGGAAACATAATGATTGAATAAAATTTGTCAATAAATTGATGAAAATCATGGATGAATCAAGTTTGTGATGCTGACGTGAATGCAGTAGATGAGAGATGATGGATTGTTTTCGGATTGGTTTTATCGATTGTGAGCATTTTCCAGATATGCTATTTGGGATGTGCCAAAATCAACAGTCCAAGTAGTGAATCTGAAATGGTGAAGATTATGCAGTTGTTGAATAAGGAACGTGCGCAGAATCCGATTGATGTGGTCCTATCGATTCCAGATTCAGCTTTGGGAATCGTTAGGTTAGTGCTCTTTCTTTCGAAGTAATAGCAGCTGAAGTGGAGTTCTATTGCTCAAATGAATTACACCACTGACTGAACGTCTTCAGTGGAAAAATTTCTGTGAAGAAAACTCTGTTTTAGAGTTCATAATGGCTCATCCGAGGTTAAGAAAGATGTTTGTTGTTGGCCGTGAGCAACAGCAATTGTTTTCTGTTCATCTTCAGAATGTTCGACGGGAGTACCAAAACAGAAATGGTCAACTTTCCGGTGCATCGAATTCGTTTCTGTGCGCGCGGTCAATTGGAATCAGCCGAAAAAGAATGCTTCGCGTTGTCGTTCACCCAACAAAACGCTACTGCTACCGATCCAGCGCTTCATTACTGTCACGTATTCAGATGTCAACTTCCCGAAGCTGTACGTTTGTTCATCTTAAGTCATCTCCCTGCTGTGCTTCTTTTGCACTGTCTCTGATTCTTTTTGTTCCAGTCCTTTCATTCATTGTAATAATCGAATTTGCTGTATTCCATATGTTGCTGTACGTCGTTCAGCATGTAAGCTGTGTTTGTATCCATTTTTGTTATTCAAATGACTGACTGCTTTCGCTGAATCTATCCATTTTCACTGAATGTTGGAGAGTGATTTGTAATTCCATTTCTCTGTTAAATGCACGGGCATTCTTCGCGTGGCATTATGAATTAGTTCATAGTGTCAGTGGAATGGCAATAATTTGATTCTAATAGCAGTAAAATTCGGTTTGCTTGTCCATCTATCCTTAGCCGTTCGTTCTTCTCACACGAACTGTTTGGCTAGTGAATCCACTCGAAATCATCCGATCAGTAGAGTTTCTTCATCGTTTGCATCACAATCCGCCAAGTGCATGACAGCTACTTTATAACATTCTCGCATTACCACAAATAGTTTCTGTTGATTGTGCTGCTATGATGAGTAGATTGCGAATCAATTTCGCAGTCTACTCATCGTAGCCGAATCAATTTTGTTGATGTATTTTTGCAGTGAATATTCTCGTGAATTCAGCTTAGGTTATGATTGCAGGCTGGTAAAGCACTGTTGTGTTTCGCGAATGCATTCCGTAATAACGATATTTCAAACAAGCAATCACAATCGACAACACCAAAAATACGACGGCATTCGTCGTCGAATCGAACAAGTAACGATGATGCGTCAAGTCTAGAAGGTATTTTCACATCGGCCACTGAAGAGGACTATCAATTTGATGCATTTCTGGAAATGAAGGTACGTTGTTTGTGGAGAAAGTGGCATGAATTTCTTTTCAAATTTAACGATCACAAAATTACGATGTTATGTGATGTGAGAGTGATTGAAATGAAATGTTTTATTTTCGTGTAATCGTGATGTTCAATTTTGCAGGAAGAAGATCAAAAGAAAGGATTTACGATGTGTCCACAAGAAAAGAAATGTTTCAAGCTGAGGCGTGATCGTGAGAAACGTGTTTTGGTCGTATTACAGCAAACAGCTGGACCCAACATTCTGGCTGTGAAAAAGTTCGTCGTTTCACTTTGTTTTCTTTTTCATTCATTTGTTTATTTTACCAAAAACTTATATTCAATAGGTCACTTCATTCATGAAGTGTCAGATCTATTTTACTAAACTTATTCAGCGCTCGTACTTTTTCCGTAACGTTCGTTCATTATCAAAATCAGCAACGTTGGAATGTCATATTCTCCTCATTACAACTGGTGTAACATTTCAAATGGCTCCATTTAAATTGAATTGAACACTTTTTGATCAGTGAATTAATCTCAGATGTTTTGGTATGTTGTTGGCGGCAGGAAGGAATCTACGTCAAAGCGATATGCATTTGCTCGATATGGTATTCGACTGCTTTTACATCACAATTTTTGTGTTTTGTTTATAGTTTCATTTATTCAACTTGTTGTGATTGATTTTTGCTTCGGATCAACTGATTTTTTTTNTTTTTTTTCGTTTTTTTCCATAACTTCTTCAATTAGACTTCTTCTATTCCTCATCAGTCAAATTTCGGCTGAAGGTTCAGAGTTGATGATGGATTTGAGTGTGCCATAAGTTTTGTTTCAGCAATCGATGGGTCGTGGTAATGACAGTCGAACGTACATTATCGAAGCGATCTGGGATCCGCATGCACAAAATTTCGAAGTGCTTAACACAGAGACACCAAGAGGTAAATTTTATACGTATATGCGCATATGAGAAGAGTTCGTTGCTGAATGCGAAATGTATTTGATATTTGTATTGCTTTCATAAATATGTTCACAAAATGCGCATGTGAGCATCATTTAAATTTACTCACCTGGATGAATATGGTTGTTCTGTGGTGTTCTTTTGTATGAGTGTGTATTTAGGAGTTGTATTGTTTGAGGAACAGAAATGAATAAATTTACGCTTGTTGTTAGTTTCATGTAGGGAAAAGGGATTCATTTTCAATTGGTGCGATTATTTCGTATCAGTTAATCGATCATATCAAACAATAGAATGTTGATTGTGAGCATGCATATAACAAAAGAGTATCGTTGAATACAGAAACACGAGTGTTTATGACGGTTGCGGTCGATGTGATTTTGACGGGGATCAACGAACCGGTTCGTTTCAATATCGAGTGCAAGGCACGTATCTTCCATGAGCATGAAAGGTTCTGGTATGTCACAAGGCGACCAATCGTCGAGAAGTACTTCCTCACTGTTAAGGTGTGTTTTTGTATTTTGCGTTTTGTTCAGCCATTCCTGTTTTTGTTTTTGTTTCGGTTTGTTTTGTAAGGTTGTTTTTTCTTCGATGCCTACCAAAAAATGTTCACTTCGATGGAAGGTGTTAATTTTGATTTTATGACGAAACTGTCTTGGTGACGAAAAGAGTTACTGTTTGCTTAATTTGATAATGT